TTGAATGATATTCCTATTGATGCGTATCCAATAGTAACTAATATATCATTAGTCGAATGATATTCCTATTGGACTACATCCAATGATAAAATATTTTACCACTACCGAATGATTTTCTTATTGAACGCTACAAGTAGTAAAATCATTCGATAATGATAATGTCCGTAAAATTTTATCATTAGTTCAAATGATTTTATTATTGATCTAAATGATAATACTATTGATACTTTTCACGACGGGCTTCTCTTTAACGTTTTAATTTACTCATTAGATCTTTTACTTGAATTATTTGTTTAATCGTGCGCTGTCTGAAAAATGCGTTATACTAGAAATAAATTTGGAGGGAGGAAGATTGGGGTATCTTTCATATAAAATTTCATGTAAAAAATTGGATGCCCATAGGCAGAGGGGGACATGGGATGAACCTTATTTCGCGTGGAAAGTCAGATCGTATGTGACACTTCGTACTGTTAACATCTCTGCTCACTGCTCTGCTCAGTTTTCGATTCCCCATGATTCAATTTTTATCTTCTTTCTTATAACAAGTGCCACTATTGTTTTAATAGTTTTTCTTTCATTTGTCTTGATGCAACTATATTATATTCTTTGGGTCACACGCTTGTCGGATGAACTTTAATCGTGCCAGATGGCGGCGTGCGGAATATTTTTCTGTGAGTGATATGATCTTTCCATGCGTCTCTTTTGTTATTGCAATATTGCATTATTATTGCGGTCCGTATTTAGGCCCCTATTTATAATTGATTCTCAAATCTCATTTCAAGAACATATCAAGCGAGATACTCAGAATAGAGTTTTATGTTGAAACATAGACGATTTAATAGTCATAATTAGAAGTCACTTAAAACTGCATTTATCCGAGAAGACGAATGATCATTCAAAATCTAAACAGTATAATATTGATATATTCTATACATATATATATAGTAGGTTATGATATGCAGTCTAATCAAAAAATTATATAATTATTTCTTCTTAAGTTATTTCCAGACCACACTTAAAGGGGGTCTCCTACATTAGAAGACCAAAAAATATTATAGTGGATATTCATAATCTTTTCTCAAAAGACTAATATTTATCGTTTAAAAACTTTTTGCACGTTTTAATATAACTATTGTAGAATACATACACATTTTTATAAAATGTGAAAAAAAATATAAATAATAAAAATATGATAATTACAATAGAATAACTATCCCTTCGTTCTTCTGATCTCTGCCTTCCTTTGGCATATGGGCTTTACAAAATTCACAAAGACAATCATCCTCTCAGAATTATTGTCTCGTCCATTAACACAGCATTGTACCTTGGCTATATTCTTGCATAAAATAATTATCAAAAATATTCCACAGAATTCTAGAGGAATGCCTAACAGTTTCGATCTTTTCAAGTAACTTTCTAGAAAGAAAATCAATGAGTCTGACATTTTGAATCCGTTGGATGTTACATCTTAATTTACTAATGTCCCTCAAGATCTCGTAATCGACAGTATTAATAAACATTGGCGATATATAGAAAATGATATTTCAATTCCTAGGACTGAATTTATGAAGGCCATCGAATTCATATTGTCTTCCACTTATCTTAAATTTAATAATGTTATATACAAACAGACGTATGGGACTCTGATAGGATCTCCACTCTCGTCTATTGTGGCTGACTTAGTCATGCGGGATCTTGAGGAGAAGGCTCTTAATACGCTGAGTCCAATGTCAGCCTTTATTTCCGATATGTGGACATAATGGCTGTTTCATCATTTATTTATAAGACTTTTAATAAGATATACATAAACGATTACAATTCACTATAGAATATGAAGAGAATCACAGAATAAGTTTTCTTGATCTTTTATTTTGATAGTGGAGGATGATATAATAAATGTGGATTGGTCTCAAAAAATGACTTACTTGAAGAGGTGCTTATCTTATTTATCTATCCACCCACAATGTTGTAAGATGGGTAACAGTCTGGTTGATCGATCAATTTTACTTTCACAACCAAAATTCTATCAGAAAAATTTGAAAATGGTTGTGGAAAGTACTTCTAAATAACGGATACCCGTCAGAAATGATATTTAAACAGACCAACTCGAGGGTCAAGAAACTTCTCTCACCAAGTGTTGCACACAGAAATTTGCAAAGCAATGATCATGAAAATACTAATATGAAAAAATTTTTTGTGCTTCCATTTATCCATTGTGTTACACATTTCTTTGAAAAATATGTCACAATTCTGATACGTAATACAATTTAGAAGGTTATTTCTTATATCTCATTACACGTGACGATTCAGACATGAGATTTTCTAACAATTTAAATATGCCTTATATATAATATATATATATTAAATTAGTTATTAATGATACAGCAGTCGAAATATAAGGTGCTATTCTCCATAATAATCTTTCTTTTTTTTAACTTAATTTTTGCAACATGTAATATTGAATTCCTTTAATAATGATGTGAACGATCTTCACCGGACATTAATCGCAAATGCTGCTGCTTATGGATGACAATATCCAACAAACAGAGAGAGACCAACTAGTCGCTAATATTTTTGTTGTTAACAAAGCCACTCAACAAACAAACGTATACGTTATCGAGAGATTCTATATCTTTCTTTACATTTATACCATTAATTATACCTGCTCTTTTATATGTAATGTTTCCGAAATAAGTCTGTTATTGTAATTCGATTCTGAGTCTAATATTTTAATATTCTTCCACAATTAAAGTTATGGTTATAATATAACGAATACTCTGTTATAACAGAATATCTGGATGAATCTACTTTCTTATTATTAATATGTTCATTTATTCTTGTGTTGAGTTTTCTCCTAGTCTGTCTTATATAAGAAACGTCGCAACCTTTACATAAAATCTTATACACAACATTATTGTTGTCAAAAAATTCTTTCTTGTCTTTATGTAAATTTGTCTTTAATAAATTTGTTTAACTTGTTAATGCATCTACATCATAGGCTGCTTTATTAATCATACGTGTGGCGGATTGTGTAACACAATGGATAAATGGAAGCACAAAAAATTTTTTCATATTAGTATTTTCATGATCATTGCTTTGCAAATTTCTGTGTGCAACACTTGGTGAGAGAAGTTTCTTGACCCTCGAGTTGGTCTGTTTAAATATCATTTCTGACGGGTATCCGTTATTTAGAAGTACTTTCCACAACCATTTTCAAATTTTTCTGATAGAATTTTGGTTGTGAAAGTAAAATTGATCGATCAACCAGACTGTTACCCATCTTACAACATTGTGGGTGGATAGATAAATAAGATAAGCACCTCTTCAAGTAAGTCATTTTTTGAGACCAATCCACATTTATTATATCATCCTCCACTATCAAAATAAAAGATCAAGAAAACTTATTCTGTGATTCTCTTCATATTCTATAGTGAATTGTAATCGTTTATGTATATCTTATTAAAAGTCTTATAAATAAATGATGAAACAGCCATTATGTCCACATATCGGAAATAAAGGCTGACATTGGACTCAGCGTATTAAGAGCCTTCTCCTCAAGATCCCGCATGACTAAGTCAGCCACAATAGACGAGAGTGGAGATCCTATCAGAGTCTCATACGTCTGTTTGTATATAACATTATTAAATTTAAGATAAGTGGAAGACAATATGAATTCGATGGCCTTCATAAATTCAGTCCTAGGAATTGAAATATCATTTTCTATATATCGCCAATGTTTATTAATACTGTCGATTACGAGATCTTGAGGGACATTAGTAAATTAAGATGTAACATCCAACGGATTCAAAATGTCAGACTCATTGATTTTCTTTCTAGAAAGTTACTTGAAAAGATCGAAACTGTTAGGCATTCCTCTAGAATTCTGTGGAATATTTTTGATAATTATTTTATGCAAGAGTATAGCCAAGGTACAATGCTGTGTTAATGGACGAGACAATAATTGAGAGGATGATTGTCTTTGTGAATTTTGAAAAGGCCATGTGTCAAAGGAAGACAGGAATCGGAAAAACGAAGGAAGATAGTTGTATCCTTTCTGATATGTAATCGTTGTCCAACCATTCTTTTTAACATGACATTTAATTGTGCCATATCAAAAAAAGAATTGAGGAAGCGAGATCTAAATCTCACGGCTAATGAGGACTTAGTACAGTCAAAACATTCAGTGAAATTATAGTAAAAGAATAAAGTTTTCTGTAGTAGAATGGCAAGGCGGGTTCTAACTCACTATGTGTCAGTGCGTATACCATGTGCGTCCGTGCGCGCGTGCGTGCGAGTGTCAGGAGAAGTCCTCACACATGTTGGGAAGTGAGAAGCGCGTCACCGGGTTCATGATAGGGGGGAAAGTTCCTTCTCTCTCTTACCCGTTGCATTCTTTCTTTAATCTATTGTCCTCTCTCTCCGAATTATTGACAGACGCAGTTCTCTTTGTCCCACCCGTTGCAGTAGTATACTTATTATTTCCGCTTTTTCTTTTTCCCGTTATGCTCTCTCCCACATTGTTTTTCTTCTTGCACTTGATTTAATTAAATAGATATAATATTTACTATTTTTATGATATTTCTTAGAAACTAATTATGATAATATTTTTATGAATTTTTAATAATATAATCCAGTAACACTAAATATGATAATATTTTTTTTTGTCAATGTAATACAAATGGTCTCGCTCACTTTCTTATTGACTAATTCAATACTACTACGAAGATATAAAGAAGAAGTGGCGAAGATACTGGGGATAAAATAATTTTAGAAGAAAAGAATAAATTTTTTAACATACATTTATTTATCATGTAATGCAGTATGTACAATATAATCTAAACCATAGACTATTAGTTCACATCCTATAATAGAATTTTTATCATAATATTGTGATATTTTCATCATAAATTTTGTACAAAGTGTTTGCAGAATCGATTTTATTATTAATATTTTGTCTTAAAAATGACAAAAATATTCGAATTTCTTACTAACACCGTGCGTATTAACTCAGTTCATAGAATACATGTTCAACACATTATTCAAGCTCAAACAAGAAAAGCACAGTTTTTGGTTTCATATTCAAACATGTGCCATTCAATATTAATTTCACGTTATTCGTATCATATATTTTAACATGTTCCATATTTAGATCTTGAATCGGTGATGATGATGAGACTGTTGACTGCATTAATCGTTCGATATCTGCACGCTCCTTGATCAACGTCTTTGACGTAGTATGAGGTATAAACATGCGATTGTCTGAATTATCATCAATCGTAATTTGCACACAAAATATAGATTCCACAATGATCCCAATGTCCAAGAACTTGTACACTGTCGAAGTCAATGCATATTTTCTCATAAAGATACGAGGCATGTAACGAGATTTCGAAGGCGATATCTGAGAAAATGCGCTGTGAAAAAAAAAAGAAAACATGTAAATAGATCTCACAAAAATGCATAACATATAATACGTATAAGCAAATATTTTATAAAATTAAATAAACTTACTGTCTTTTGCACGCATCATCCTGTTGAATTGGAACGTAATACTTCATGAGATATGTGAGATATTTTATTTTCTCAGACGACTTATAATTAGCAATAGCTGTCTGAAACTTTTAAGAACTCTTTTGGAGCTGTCTGAATGGCTAATGCGGTAACGTTTCCACTTCTTTTAAATATAGTATTCAACATTTTTTTTTACATACCCTAAAATGAAGGAGATTTTTTTTTTATGTACAATATACTTTGAAGAACAGTTGCGGCATGGTCGAAGAATATCAAATTGACACATATCATAAGAATGCACTCTAACAAAATCGAATCTTTTTTTATCTTGGATTGGCGCCAACGATAATAAAGTCTGTCTGCTCCTATTCTCTTTTCAAAACTAAATCTCGGAAAAAAAAGTAAAAACATATTTAAAAAGGAATCTTATTTTTTACTTTAATAAGGAACTTTATTTTTTAAACTTTATACATTTCTTTCTAGCATAGCGATTACCAATTAAATATTTTAAACACATTCTGTAACGCATAATTCTTAACATATTTTCTTCGTACTAGTAATAATAGTATTATTAATATCCAGATTACGAAAAGAATCTATATCTTCGTAATCAGCATCCAGGATCTCAATGGTCAAGTCGTTGCTATTGAATATATCAGCCAGGTATTCGCGTTTTTTAAATCCTTTAATGTATACAAGAGTCTTATTGTCTTACGCACCAATTATAGCCATTGTAATCAGGCGTTTCATCATGCTGTACGGAATCATCCTGTCTTCATATTACAATCCATGCACTTTGCCGTAAAGCGCAGTCCTTTTCGGATTTTGTCAAGAAATTTCATGGTAAACATGTAAAAATGTAATGAAAGAATAGCTCTGTTTCTCAACACCGTCACTTCCTTCACGATAAATTTTCTTCCAATGATAAATTCTTGTACAAACGATCAAATTAAGCATTAAGAAAGCGTGCAAGAACTTTCGAAGAAATAATGTATCTATTTTTTAACAGTTTAGGATGACCAGCATTGATCTCTTTTATCTTTAAAAAGAATTCATAATGTTTTTAACATTAAGGGTACACAAGTAACGAATTCTTCAAGATAATTTAGATTTTCTTAGCGAACATTTGCATGGAAACATTTAGAATTACATTTTTTTAATTATGATTTGAAGATGCATTATATCTGTAATATATTTAATATGAAATTTGTTAATGTTAAAATATAGACGTAACAAATTTTTCATTAAGTTAATTAAGGATTAAGTGAAAGAAACTCAGATCGCGTTGAAAGATGTCATGATTCCATACAGCACAGAAATATTGCAGCAACATTGCAAAAATATTTCATTACAAGATTGCAATATTGCAAAAATATTGCGAAATATTGCGGCAATATTTCAGCAACATTGCAGCAACGTAAAAATTTCCGTTTTAAAAATATTGAGACGTAATGTTGCAGCAATATTACAACATAATATATATGCAATATTAGGTTTTGCGCACAGTGGAGGAATAATTGCAATATTATTGCAGAAATATTGTAATAATGCAGCAACATTGTTGTAATATTACAACGTTATTGCAATATTTATTATAAGATTTTATACTATATAAATTAAATATAAAAAAATTGAAGTAGGAGTTAAATGTAATATACAATGAATATAAATAAAATGACTTTATAATTAATTATGTCTTTATTATGTATTTTATAGGCGTGTTCCGATATACACTACCAGTACTGAAAATTTATAGTTCACATTACGTATACTGTAGATTTTCAGTATTGGCAGTGTACATCGAAACAAGTTTATAAAGACATAATTAATTATGAACTCATATTTTATTTGTATTCATTGTATGTTACATTTAACTCCTACTTCTAATTTTTTATATTATACGTTCTATATTTTATTATTGTGTCCATTATACATTATATTTAATCCTTACTTCTAATTGTTTTATGTCTATAAATTATAGGCGCAATTCCTATAAATTATAGACAATGACTACGTTCGCACCTTATATCTGTTTCCTAATGTAGATTAACTTTAATCTTGGTTTAACTTACTCTTCGTCTTTTTCTAATTTTTAGAACTAGAAAAAGACGAAAATAAATTGAACTGAGTTTAAAATTAATCTATATTGTTAGAAATGGACATTAATCGGGTTTAATAATATTCGTAATTAGAAACTAACCAGTCATTTCATTTTTCAAAGTAATATGGTTGTGAGATTTGTCAGTTTCATGATAACAGATGTTATGAAACCCAATTAAGTGTACCGTGTAAACATGATCATTAATTCCTATTCTTCCATTATGTCCAGGATCTTATTTTATTGGGTTATACACAAATCAATATATAAGTCTTAACATTTAAAGTGGACTTTCTAGCAGAGGCACAAATCAATGACAAGAGTCATTCTTGTCTTCGTTTCTTACTGATTTTTTTAATAAGGACAGAATGTATCAATTTGTATCTCTTGTTGAAAATATTTTGAATAATGCTGCAACATTGCTGAAGTAATATTGCAAAAAGAATTCTTCGCAATGTTTCTGCAACATTGTATTGCAATATGCAACATTGAAATGTTGCAGCAATGTTGCTACAAGTTACTGTGTACGGGATATAACCGCTTTTGCATTCAATAATAAAAAATTACATTACAGCTTACGTATTTATAAAGATTACGTATTTATAAAGCATTAATTTAAAGAATCTTTAATGTAACAATATCATAAGTAAGCCGTCATTTTTTGTCTAAGTAGCTATAGAGCGGTTTTAACCCTTAGGATTAGAGGGTGGAGTGTGTGAGAAGGCGTGAGGGTACTCGTAGGCGTGTGGTAGGAGGGGGAAGGCGCGGGAAAGGTCCCGGCAACATTGCTGTTTACATAAACATAAAACCCTGGTCGATTGATTACATAAACATGATGACATTTCATGTTCCTTATTTTTTTCGTCACCCATTACCGCCGCTGTCGCCATCGCTGCCACCCACCGCCATCGTCGCCCTCCCCAAAAATGCGTAGATAACAAGAGCTCGCATATTAGAGAAAGATAGAGCGCGCGACGATGTCGGAGTGCGTAACATGAACATGATATCGAAGAAAAGAAGGAAGAAATTAATCAATAGAGTAAAAATCTCTTTTTTTATGATGCAGTTTTTCAATACGGTTTTTTACTAGCGCGTCGAGGTAAAAGATGGAGAGTAAAAGAAAGTACATATGTAGTGATGCGAACGAAAATTTTTTATTCACATTATACTTATTACACAAATTTTTTCTCATTTTTTATTACATTTTTTTTTTCGCAATCGACAGCGTTCGAATGCGATCGATGGCTCGAACATCGCTAGTAGCGCTTTCTGCAAAAAGAGAACGAAAAAAATTTTTTTTACCATTATTCGCTTTTTCAGCAGAGAATTGATACTAGTCACTCTAAATGCGATACTTTATGGCTTATATTTTGATGAAACCTTATAGCATTGATGACGTTGATGATGAGGAACACGTTCGCGATTTTGATGCTTTTTCACTAGGACATTCCCAATATCTCGTTTTTTCTCTCTATGGTGGTGGACTTAGCGGACAATGGACGGTATCCTTGCGCTCGATCGATTTTCGACATATATATTCTTTTATTCGATCCATGTCTTATCGCTCGTAATCGAAGTTTACGATTAAACGAAAAAAATATACACTGTCAGATTGGTAACATGTCGCGACGCGTTAAAAGAAGCGCAACCGATTTTTCGGCTGCTAAACTAAACACAACTTTTCTATAGTAAAATGAAAGTGATATTTCAGTGAAAAGCATGAAATCACACTGTGTTTCCATAGCCTTTAAATTTCTTCGAAGAAGCGTCGATAACAATTTTTTCTAGGAAGAGATCGATGGCATATCGCGACACGGTAGAGAAGCGTTGGTGCTGTTTATATAAACATATCATGAGATGTGAAAAATATAAACTAAAACCGCTCGCGATGCTTATCTACTTTTAAAGAAAGTGTGGCCCAATAGGCAAAGGAGCAAAGAAGTCACAAATGAAATATATAATGGGTTATAAGCGTTCCACAATTGATGTCCTGGAAGACGAATAAATCGGTCGCAATAAGAATAATGGAAAAAGTATGGCTAAACATCGTGCGAACGTTGAGAACATAACCAATGTAATCGAGTATATTAGAAACATGGATCCGAAACAATTCGCGAATATTAAAGACGAAGTGTTCGAAGTGTTCGAAGAAATGGATGTTTGAGATCGTTAATTCGGGAAAAGCAAGAATTCTTTTCAGTCGACCGACAGTAATTGTCATTGAACGCACGCATAAAGTGAGCTCGTGATTTCATCTCGAGCATGATCTTAATCCTCGTTAAAATCCTCGATTTGGCATTCTTTGTTCTTTTTAAAACAATTCGGTACACGCAAACAAGCTCCGGCAACGGACAATTGAAAGTTCTAGAACAATTCAATTGTCGCACGCGAGCGCCGCGCTCCGACGAATACGTCACGCGCTGTCACCAATCCCACGTACGGATTTTCTGTCGCGCATGACTGTTACGTTGAACGTCGTTAGAAAGGAATCCAAAGCGCCAATCAATTTTGTACAACTAATGCCACGTAATAATTACGATTGTGGCAAAATTTTATTGGATTTTTCCCAAGAAGAAAGCCCAGGCCGAAAGCAATAAATACTTCGATCTCGCCGTCCTCTGCTTAGAGTCCTTACTTCTTAAAGTTCTTAGACTTCTTAGAGTTCTTAGAGTCATAGTCTCGCTACTATATCGCTTCGTAAAACTGCCGTGCTAACCGCTTAGTGAAAACCGCTATAAAACGGATCTTTTCGAGAAGAGCCGAGAAAATCGCCGAGATTTTCCATCACCGCGATTCCAAATACAATTTGGAAAAGGTGACCGCATTGAATATTCTGTTAATCTAATATTTAATTAATTATATTTTTTTGACTTTGTAACTGAGCATATTAAAGAAAATTCTTTTGTTAAATTACAAAGAAATGAAATTCTCTCTACTGTCGTGTATCATATCAACCTTGTGCCATTCTCTCACTCGAATCTTTCCGCGCGGTGCATTCCCGCACATGGAAGTAGATTTTAAAGAGATAAATGCACAAATGACGATAGAAGACAGTAGAGACAATGAAGATTATAGAAGATAATTTAAATGATGCTGTATGTTTTCGGTAATCCGCAAAAAAGAGACATAGGTATACATCGCCAGTGCAATTC